TTTCATCTTAAAGATGAGCACGATTACTCGAGAGTATAACCATCTTATCTTCACTTAAGATGAGTAAAGAAGGTTCAACTGTATATAACACTCTTATGTTGAACTGTTTCTCTCAGAGACAGAGTATTTAACCATTCAACACAGTCTTGCTCCTCTTGCGTATTGCGAGGAATGATTTTGGTAAATTTGGTTTGCAGTAAGACCCGGGCGGCAGACACTTACAGATTATCTTACATTTGCAAATAAAAAATGTCATACCTCTCACAGTGGGTGGAAATTCATAGTCATATCAAATGTGTTGTAGAGCCGAGCTGATTCTCTAATGCAACAACATTGACAATCTGAAATGTAAATCCACAAAGTGGACCAGGATGTCATATGCTGAATTCATTGCATTGTTTGCTTTTATTCTGGGAAGCGCAAGAATCAAGGCAGTCGACTCGTCAAGGCGAACAAAAGACCCTTGATAAAAGCTATCAATACAAATTTAATGGTTGGAAAAGTTGTTTGTTAAAGGAAAGGAAACGGTAAAGAAAATCCATTATATACTTTTTCATACGTTTCATACATGAGCCTTGGGTTCGGATGATCGGCACTACCCCATCCCACGTATTGACATAAATAATTGGTTGATTGATTTCTTGATAACCTTTTGGGAAAGAAATTTTTAATAGTAAAGTGTATTTTTTTTATTATTATTGCCCTCGGACAGGGAATAATCAGTTCTATGAGGCAGATCAGGTAAAATAAAGGGCATGTAATAAGTGACATTGATCAAGAGTAAGCCGATGACTACGTCTGTTAACAACAGCGAAAAAAGATCGCGGCCTCGAGACAGGAATGTAGCCATGATTGCCAAGTGAAGCCCGAAACTCAAAAAAGAATACTTCCGTGTGAACATTCTGTTCCCTGGAGGGAAAATAAGTGTGAGGGGGAAGAAACGGACCAAAAAAAAGGAGCCTAGCTGTGTTCATATTAGTTTTTAAGGTTGTTGCATTTTTAGGCCGCTACAACGTGAATAGTTATGTCAATTCTCCAAAGACTGTTTCCCCGATTTCTGCGACCTTAACTTTAGTCCAAAAATAGTTATATCCATTTTAGGAAGATTAGCGCTTCACTTCTACCTTTACTGTCAAGGCAACAGAAATAATGACTTTCAGCGAACACGATGGGAATATTATTTTCAAGAAAAGAAGTATTGGCTTTAGTTAAAGCAAGATGTCGGGAGAGCATCACGTCACGCCTGTCCTCTTCGCAATTTTTGCTGCAACTATGCTTCTTGCTCACGGAAGTCAAGGTACACCTACCTTAAAATATGTTTTGGTTAATTAATACTCTAAACAACACATTTCATAAAGTGCTGATAGTATTTGGCGTTTTTCCAACACTGAAATTGTATGTTTTAAGAACCGAAAACGCAAATTACCGATAAAATAGTCTGAAAATTTGCACCATATGTTTCTCGAATTATATTCAGTTAAAGAGCGTTTGTATATATGATTTTAGACGAGGGAATTTTTTGCGCGTCCCTGGTTTGTCTTTGTTTGAATTTTGCTTCTGCTTTTTAATCGCGCCGCAGTCATAAAGTGTACGCTGAGACATATTCAGGGAGAGCTATAGGTGAGGCCTTTGTTTAACAATAATAATCATCCTTGATTGCTATTGAGGACATTGAGCAACTAAACCCGATTTCCGTGATATAATTTTAATTTTGCAATTATCCAGACGATTGGGTACAATGGGAAAATTCTGAATGTCAAACCCAATGCCGGAGCAGTACAAGGTCATTATTCCATTATTTTCAAAAGTCTGGTGACGGTCCAACAGCATACTTGTAATTCGGTATGTCTAAGCTTCCAATTCGATGCCCATTGTTCAATCTGGCTTCCCCAGTTAGTGTTACATCATAGACTCAATTTCTATCTCTTTCATCTCTAGCATTTTACGGGACACTGCAGCCTCCTCTGAGTTTTGCGAATTTATGCGATACGCGTGTCGCTAGTAAAGGTAATAATAAAGAGCCACAACAAAACACAAGTAACTACATGGAATTCTTACAATTGGTATTTGAGAAAAATAATACAATACCCTAGTTATAAGGAAAAATCTTGTCTGATTCAGGTGAAATTGTGAAACGTACTTACTTGGGAATTTGGTAAATATTATTTTTTTAAGTTTCCCATTCTTCGCCTTTCACTATTCCTTTATATCTATATTTAATTTCAGCGTTTTTTGACCCCTCCAATCGTACTTGCGACTCCTAGTCACCAGTTTCCTCAGAGACCTCAACACGCCACGGCAGTCTGGGTGGAGGATTTGACAGAACACAGTTTCAAACTCTGTCTTAGGGGAGTGAAAATTTTTTGATGGACTTCATAGGGGCATCAAAATTGTGAGTAAAATGTTCTATCCACCAGGGGTTTCTGAGCTTTCATGATGCGCCATGGTTGATCATGATGGCTTAATGATTGTCATTGGAATCTGGTCGTAGCCAGCTGCTTTGCCTGGAAGAAAAGTTTTCGCAATCTCAGCGATCTCATCTTGAGTTGTAGGGTTGAAGAATATTGACTGTGTAAAGGAACCATTAAGAAAACTACGGTGTGAAGCTGACGACTGTATACCCCTTGCTAAATTAGGACCGATGCTTGAAAAATAACTACAAAACTTGTTGGCAATTTCGACAGGATCAGTAATTTCACGATCATCAGCTTCAAATGTTGAGCACCTATTGGAATTTCTTTTGCTTCTGTTTAGAATTTCATTTTTAAAACTCTCCAAGTAGCACGAGTATTAGATTGAACGTTATTCAATTTCTCCTCGTAGTATAGACGTTTTGCTGTCGGCAGAGAATGATTTAATTTGTTTTTATAACTTTTGTAAATTGATTGACGATCCATTGTTGGATTTCGCAGATATTTTTTATAAAGCCTATGTTTCTTCTTAATACACTTAATAAGCGCATTGGATAGCCACGGTTTATTAATACGAGACTGTTTTCTAGTCAATTTTTTTTACAGGGAAGCACACATTATAACTTTCAGAATACTTCTTTATAAAGCTATTATACGCGTTTTTGGGGTCATGATAACCATCAAGGGAGGACCAGGTAATTTCTTTTAGCGTTTCGAGAAAACTCGCTAAGTTTTCTTTATTATTGTCTTAAATGACCACTGGGTCATGAGCGTGGCTGTTGGAAGAGTCATTATTTGAATGAATCGAGAAAACAGGTAAGTGATCAGAGATATTGGTAATCAATAAACCACTTCTCGAGCGATCAAAAAATGTGTTTGCGAAAATGTTATCCAGCAATGTTGCTGTGTGAGAAGTTATTCGAGTGGAACGTGTTATCATGGGAAAAAACATACGAGTGCAAGCCATCAAGGAATTCGCCAGTGTTTTGGTGATGTTGAAAGTTAATTAAATTCAAATTGAAATCACCCATAATAAAACACATTTTGTTCTCTCTAGAGATTTTCGCTAACAGATTATTGTGTTTTGACACAAAGTCACCAACTCTCTGATTAGGGGGCCTGTAAATAACACCACCGATAGTATTTTTCTCATAGGGTCTTGATATTTCAATAAACAAAGATTCTGCAACATCAATATCGTCAAAACTCAAGTCAGCGCGAATTTTAAAATCGAGATTGTCAGAAATATATAATCCAACCCCACCACCAGTTCTATTTGGGCGATGTTTGTGGATAAAATTGAAACCATCTATGCCTACTGAATGGGGATAACGGAGGCTGACAGCTCTGACAAGGGCGGCTGTTTCGGGAGAAAAACAAATTTATTCCGGGAATCTGAAGATTTTGCCAGGAATCGGGAAACCTGGCAAGTTTTTCGGGAAATATGAGATATTTTCGGGACAATGAGCAAAGATTTGATATTACATGTTATCAAACAATATATATGCACAGTGATATGCAACATGTGTATACGCTGTATTTTATGTATTTTGACACTTGAAAACAGCTTAACTACCCATGATATGAAAAGACCAATCAGCAACGTTTCCAACTGAAGGTAGCATGAAGTTGGAGTGCGATTGACTACGTGCAATCCCCAGCGGATTGACACAAGAACCGTGCCGGTGCAAGGCACATACTATCAGTATACTTAGCTGAAAGTGATATCTAGAACAATTTCAAAAACGGCACAAAATATAAAATAAAATCGACTACGCTTTTAAAAATAAGCATAAAAATGACAATTGATTTAGAGAACATTTTGGACAGAATTTGTCCTCTCAGAACACTAGAAACGGCGTTTCAGAGCACCAAGATTTCAAAATTTTCTGGGGGAGCATGCCCCAGACGCCCCTAGTGCCCGGCCCCTGTTTTATCGCTCGCCTGATTGGTCGGTCATTAAAAAAAACCCACGATTTTATATACTTAAAAAGTTGGACAGTCTTTCTGTGTTAACATGATACCCTCAGTGTTCAACTCCTCTAAACGAAAAATTGTCTAAGGTTAGATAATTAACAAGTTACATAATTAACAAGAAGCTGCAAAAAATTTCTAATTAAAATTTCAATTGTTAAAACAATCTTGGGCAGTTGAACATTAAACATGGGGAATGTCACCGAAAAATTCGGAAGGGTCGTCCAAATCTCCGGGAGGACATAAAGTTATTCATAGGACTGCCCAAACAGCCTTTGTTAAAGTTGTCACCCCCCGTGGAATAATCGTTTAGCCAAGTCTCAGAAACGCCAATTAAAGAGAACTTAATATTCAAGCATGTCAAAAGAATAGAAATGGTGTTTAGATTACGTTGAAGACTACGAATATTTAGGTGTAGGAGCGAAAAATCTTCATCACATAAATTATCATTTCTCAACATTTCGTTAAATTTGTCTTCAATGTAGTAATCACAGTGGACGTCGCCTGTGCAGAAATTAACATCAGGATCCATATCGTCAGAACGAGTTAGGGAAAGATTGTGACTTGAAAATAAAGGATCGTAATTTAGGCTGGAAAGTCTTTCAGGATCATAACGGACCGGGCCATGTTGAAGTTCGTAAATTGCAAGGTTAAAACTATAATCGTCTAAAGCATTAAAAGGTAAAGTGTGATCAGGAATCGAAGCCATGGCTAATAAATGATTAATATATAAATACGTACTATAAATATTGTAGAAAGCTAAAGCACAAAACTACAATAATTTATGCCAACTTCAACTTTCAACTTCAACTTCAACTTTATTCATTCACTTTCAATTTACAATAGGCCAGTTTACACTTGTGTGCTTACTGTCCTAGCCTTTGAGTGAACGTGAGGCTGAGGTTGACCTTGTTTTGATAAAAACCTCGATCCTTTTCTAATGTAAATCTTGCTTAAAAAATACTAGTTAGCATAAGAAAGACATGATTTACATAATAAAGCAGGAAGGGCTGTATCAAAACAAGGTCAACTCCAGCCTCGTTTTCACCGGCAACTGTAAAATGGGCTATTACACGATAGCTTCCATCCGCGTATAGGAGAGCCTAATCGAGGCGGGGGAAGAGACACACAAATTTAAAGAAAGAAAAGAAAAAAAGAACTATTTTACAAACAGTACCAGCTGTCGCAAAATAAAAACTATAGTATGTATTAAGCTAATTTAATTACAATATGATTTACACAGAGAATATAAATTTAGTTGTGTTCCTGGGCTAGTTAAATTTAAGTTGATGCATGATTTCAGTGATTTCAAGATAGTCATCAGATTTAGATAAAATTTCAATGCCCATTAGGATAAGACCAGAAATAAATATGACGGCGTTCTGAAATAGCCAGCAAACGTAAGCAATAAAAATGGGAACATGCCGGCTGTTTTTCTGTTGGTCAAATTAACAATTTTATCAATATGCAATAAACTGGCGCCACCGTTCTGGCAAACAATTGTCTTTTTACCCCCAAACTTCTAATTGCTCTAATTTGGAATCTTCCTAAAAATGCATTCAAAAACATCCTACACGTTGAACGTTACCTTTCAGTTAAAATTGCTGTACGTATTTGCGTCATTAAGCAACATCGTTCAAGTATAGAACATCCTCATTGATCTTCAGAAGTTTATTCATTATAAGTTGGTTAACTACAGCAGATAAAGATAGCTGAAAACTGAGGTACGTAAAGTATAAAACTTTTTACCATTATAAAAGATAGACATGTTTCAGTTTACTTACAAGAATATTTCGTAGCCTTTTGATTATCTTTATACTTTGATCATGAACGGTCTTATCGACACCTCTGCGCCGTATGTGAACATATTCACCTGTTACGGCTAACAGTTGACATACCTATTTGATTCACTCTACCCCTTTTCCCAAGAAATGCTTAATACCCAAACTAGCAAGTTGTAGATATGCTGGGGGATGAGTTGGACTTTAAGTCTTTAAAGTCGCCGATGGGTTTTGTGTTGAAGTGGGTGATGGAAATTGCGAGTTGACTTCGTAAGGCCAAATAACGCTGTGTTTTTTTAGTTAGTATATATTTGCTTTCTACTTTTATGCCAAGGCAAGTCACTGGTCAGTGAACTGCGAGTAGTTAGGTTTGAGCTGTTAAGTAAGCGAAGTCGCAACACGAATTGGAGTTCGCAGAATGAGAGTTCACGTTTAAAAGCCCACAATTTAAGTATTTTCCCCTACCATGAGGTCACTGAATTAAAAAGAAGTACAAAGATGTGTGTATAATGAAGTCAAATGAAACAGATATTCCTTATATATCATCAAACGATTGCTAGTACCTTGTATAAGAATACAATTATCCTTCGAGTGAGTAATGCTTTTTCGGGCTTCTTTAAACTCCTTTCATTCGCGCAAACTGTTCTTCCCTGTATTAAAAGAGAAGAAATTCGCTCACATTTTCATAGGACTTTAAAAGTTTGTTAGCGGCATAGCATTTTTGGAGACAAAAGGAATTTTTTCTGTCTTGCGGTTATTAAAAAGGGATGATGTGCACTTCATTCGATGTAGTGAATGTTACTGAAAATAGAAGGTTATAGTTCAACAGGCCAAAATGTTTTTTACTCCGTTCTTTCATCTAGTGTAGAGTCCTGAACACTGACTTACATTTCGTCACTTATCTTAGAAAAGTTTTTGCTCTTCAAAATATCCTTTATCACGTACCGTAAATATACCATACAATGTTTTTGTAAAAAAAATGCATATGTCTCTTTGCGACCAGATGGTGGAATTTGTCAATTTGTGCCCATTAGGACAAGACCGGAAAAAAGGAAGCATTAAAAACAAAACGATCAACGGCGTTTTGAAATGGCCATCTAACGTTAGTAATAAAAAGGAGATCATGCCTGCTGTTTTTATTCAAACACTTTTGTTTGTCAGCCCGATAAGATGGCACCTCAGGTGACAAAAAACTGCCTTTTTTGCGGGAATCCTCCAGAAAATATATCGTTTGCCATTTACTTGTAAATGAAGCATTGGAGTGTTTTAAAGTAAATTTAAAGTAAAAAGTGAGAAACATAATTTCGGCATTTTTTTTTTTTTTTTTTTTTTTTTGCTAAAACGAGCTTAATTTACAAAACTAGCAGGATTATTGGCATAATTTTAGAAGTATACGAGCACTGCAAGTAGCATATCATGCTACCTTCGCGAGCACAATCCCCTTCCTAAACGCCCCCACCCCACCCGCTTACTCGTGGTTATTAAACTTCGCGTGTGACTCTTACACCCACGAAATTCAGTCACATGCTACGAACTAATAATTATTTTGTTTTCAACAGATTGGACGATGGCTGGCATGAGGACATTAATCATTAGTTTCGTTATCATGTTCCCAGTCGCGATGTTAACACAGGAAGATGTAAATCATGGAGGTAACAACTAACAACTACGATATCACCAACAAAAATTTAATTGCGCACCTGCGGTTTTTCGCCATTATTTTTCAGCGTCCTGTCTCTGCTTCATGTGCAGAGAACCGCTTAAAATTCTCATTTTTACTTTCCCTAAAAAATTATTCCAAGGATTTATTCACCATAATTTTCACATCGTCAATAATACACCTTGTTTACCCCCAAAATTTTGCATGAGAATTATTTTTAATTATTCCTTGGAATAAGCAGTCATCATAAGAGAAACTGAAAACAATTTACTTATGCAAATTAAAGTTTTGGGGGGTAGACAAGATGTTTGATGGGCGATGCGAAAATGGTGAGTATGTTAACAACTTCATGTAGTTGATATTTTTTGAAATTTTACACATTAAAAATGTTCCATCAACATTTCGCAAGATTTCTTTCCTTTAAGTGTCCGTTCGTAAATTGCCTTGCTTTATTTGTTTGTTTGTTTTTTTTTTCTCTAATGGATTTGAAATAAATTTTTATTCAAGAATATCTTGCGATACAGTCAACTCTCCCTTAACAAACACCTCTTTAAGACGGACAACCCCTGGTGTTGGCCCCTGTCATTGTCCAGTCATTTGACTTAACTATGCTCTCTGTAAAGGCGGAAACCTCTCTAAGAAGGACAACCGACACTTTCAAAACCGTCAACGATCCCTTGAAAAGTGCTTTAGGTAGTGAAAAATACCGCAATACGGAAATGTAGGTGCACTACTTGACGACAGGTAATTACAATCAGGATAAACAAATTACATACCCATTCCAAAGACAGTATAAGTACGCGTCTTCTTACAGCTCGTATCTTCTAAACGCCACACGAAGAGAACTTCTTAACTTGTAAAACAGCTATCTTCTCGGTCTGTTAGCTGAACTGTTCGAGCCTTATGGGACCTTCACATAGTGACATCAAAAACAAACCATTATAACCACTTAATTTTTATATTATTTAGTATATGGTAATTAATGTACAGTAGAACCCTGGTAACTCGAACTTTGAAGGGAAACGTAAAACAGTTCGAGGTAGCGAGGGGTCGATTGAAAAAAAAATAATTTGCCACGTTGCAGTTAATACAGTTTTAATCAAGGGAAAGGAAATTCAGTTTGAGTTAGCGGGAAACTCGAGTTATCCGAGTTCGAGTTAACCGTGTAAAAATGACTGGAAAGTGGGGTTAAATCCAAGCGGGAAATTGGACTTAGTTCGAAACCCCTCGGCCTTCATTAGAGAACAAAAACAATCCTATATATAATAAGTGAAGAAAGAAACTATTCATTTACAAATTCTAAAAAATAGAAGTAACTTAAACTTACATAAAAGAAGAGAAATAGATATGATTAATAATAATTATTATTGCCATTATTACTGACATTATTATTATCACTACCATTATCGTTATCGTTATTATTAATATTATTATTATTATTTTATCGTCATTTTCTATTATTGTTATTATTCAATACTACCGAATAATAATTTATTACAACTATAATTATAATTGTTATATTTATTATTGTTTTGAAATTTGATAAAATGTCGTTAGCTTACAGACTGAAATTTTTTGGTCATATGTGTTGCTACTTTACAGTTTGTCCTGTTCCGAGGAATAAAGAGGAAGAGGAGTTTATTAAAGAGCGGGAAAGAAACAGAGAACTAATGGAAGAAATCGCCAGAGAAATTGAAATGACGTGCCTAGGTAAGTTGAAAAATAAATGAATAACAATAATAAAAACCTTGAATGAGTAAGTCCTTCCGAGCGAATTGAAAGCCCTTTTGAATAGTTTATTCTTTGGGGCAGTTGGGGGGCAGTTGGGTGTGTCCAATATGGAACAATGCAGATTTTGCATTTCTAAAGCCACTTACCCTTTTAGTTTAACCCATTTAGTTGTTAAGCAGCGAATCCAGGAAGTTATACATACATACACTATCTACAGGCGGCCATTTCGACTTCTGAAGGAAATAACCCACCCAGCACAGGAAAGGTTGCCCACACCACCGGGGTTTACATCCAATACTCTTTCCAGTGTAAAGCTGGTGTGGATTCATTTAGGTCACACAAGTACCACTGCCGCTGTCGGACCTACGAGACCTACGGTTTTTCTTCCTTATCCGAGAAGACTACAAAGTCTAACCATTTTCAGATGTCATTACGAAGGCAGCTGACTTTCTTCTTAGTTATTTAAAGACCCCGACTGTTGGTCCGGCCGAGGTTTCAACCCGCAAACTCCCGCTCAGCAGACCGGCACTCTCCCGACTGAGCTAACCAGATTGCAGAGGTTACAAAACTTGGAACACTGCTACCTTATTATAGAAATGCTGACTAATCTTGTGAGAGTTTTAGACAAACATTTTGGGCAAAAATCCACTGCAAATCTCGGTATTGGCTACTACTCTTCCCAGTTTGAATTTCCCCTATTCCGGAAAGCTAAATAGCCCAATTCCGTGAGGAGAAAGGCTATATTAGTTGGACTAGATATGTAGAGAATAAAAGAGAAAACAAGAAAGCTCCCGAAAACGTTTATGCTAGTTTTCCTTTTTTTTTTTCTTTTTTTTTTCTAAAACTGCACAAAATTTTGCGACTTGGAATTTAATGGTACCAATTTAGATAAACTATTTCTAGTCCATGAGCCATTTTGTGAGAAGTGGGTAAAAATACAATATTTGTAGCAACCCCTCATGGGAAATTGTTACGTTGTTATTAAATGAAAACTCACGGTGCGCTTAATTGTCAGGAGTATTGATATCAACATTTCTCAATAAATTTTAATCAACGGATCATGATATCAGTTGTTTGTGCTTACAGGAGCAAACGTTTAAGTCTAGGAAATTCTTTTAACTAACTTTAATTTACTTGCTGATTTGTAGACGAGTGTGAAGCAGGACTTCATAACTGCCACGATGATGCGTACTGCACCAACACCAAGCGTTCCTTCACGTGTACTTGCAAACCAGGATATACTGGGGACGGCGTCAACTGTGCAGGTAACATAATATGGAGCTGAAACGAACAGGATTTTATCTTAAGTCATGTGCTATTCCATGCCAAAAATAATATAGCCAAATTGAAAGGTAGAAACCTGTTTTCATATTCAGTAAGTGGTATGTCACAGGTTGTATCTACGAAAAGAGTTTTGGCCTTGGTACGTGTAAAGTTGTGGCCTCTAATTTTCCCACAGAAATCAAAAATCTTTCAAAAAAAAGTAATAATAATAACTGCTACAATTTAACTGGTCGAGCTCGAACTGTTTCCGCAATAAAGCACACAGGCTTAGTGACAGTTAGGCTGGGGAAACAAAAAGTGCGACCAACATATGTCTGGGACAGGAAACACCGAGCTCAAAGGCTTAGAGACAGAAAAACTTGGGATCTATCTTTGACATAAGGATATCATCTTCACTAATATACCTAACAAGTCACGAAGGCCAATAGCCAGCTAGGCTGTTAGAAACGGTTAGGGTGCAGCATTTAAGGTGAACAGGTGTTTATTACGATTGTGGCTGGGGGTCTCACGGTAGCATTGCCAATTTGACTGCGTCAGTCGTTGACTTATGTCGCCACTCAAGAGCGCTCCTAGGACAGCTGACCTAAGCGTACATTAAGACTAAATCCATAAGATAAGGAACAGATGAAAAACGGCGCTAACCGTAGAAATAAACAAAAGAATGATAAAATTCAGAAAACTGGCAGACCTGAGCTACCAACAGAAATAAATGCGGTCAGCCAGAGGCCAGAAAAGGAAACCTCCCCAAACTCCACGAAGAGAAAAAAGCGGGCGGGAAATGTGGATAGGAACCAAGCCTCAAGGTCATAGACGTTTCTACGGGACTTTAAAAGTTAATCGAAATAGACCGCTCCTAAAATAAACGAAAAAAATTAAGAAAACCAAAGAAAGGTTGTTTCAGAAGCCGAGATGACGTACACGCGATATTTATACGTAGCCTTTTATACTCCCGGTATGGACAAGACAAGAACTTTATTTATACCTGACACACAGAAAAAAAGACAAACTACTTAGGTAAGGTACAAGCCTCCTATAGCTAAAAAGATAATCTAGCTAGGAGGCATTATAGCGGAGCCTCCGCGCGCGAAGCGCGCGCAGCGGAGCACCATGGGTAATAAAACTTGGTAAACTACCCATCCGAGAAAATTTGGTTATGCGTATGTACGACCGTACGGACTTTCCGGGTAGGGGTAAGTAGAAACGAATTCCTCCCCTCTCCACTTGAGAGTTTTTTCCCCTATTGTTTCAGAAGCCTTTAGAAATGATTGACAAATCAGAATCTGTCAACTGACTAAATGTTTGGTGGATTTTAGGGGCCGACCATTTGACTTTTGAGGGGGTTATGGGTGATTTCAGAAAAAAAATGTCCTGCAGGCTGATTTCTGGAGGAAAAAAGCATGCAAATAAATTCCGGGGAAAAAACATCCTGCACTGAAAGAAATATCGCTCATAACGTATAATGCTGAAAAAAAATCTTATACCGTTTATATCTTGGGGAAAAAAATTCTAACTCCAGAGAGTTTGGGAAAAAAATCTCAACTAAATCAGTAAAATGACCCATACCCGACTCCCCCACAAACGTCCAATGGTCATGTCAACCATTTAGGGGGGTGAGGGAAGAAACGAATTTGACACTGTAGTAAATGTCATCCATCAACAAAATGGCTGGCGCGCGTTCATCATGTGGTGGTTTACAAGACTAAAGTTTTGCATTTCAAGATTGAAAATACGCCGATAAAAGACACAAATGGAAAGGGAAAGTTTCTAAAGAATGTTCAGTTTCCTGAGCATTCGCTATGACATTGTCTTTCGAGGAATTCAACCTTGTTTTCTACGGATCGGAGCACTTGGCTTGTTTTGAACCAACAAGGCAGCGAGGTTTCTGAGGACACTTGAGGTACATTCCGTACTCTATGATCAAACAAAACTACGTTTTCAAAAGGGAATTTTTGTATTTTAAAGGTTTCCTGGACGGTTTCTACATTTTGACATCGGCGTGAAAGAAAAACCACAAGATTGATTTTTTGCCATGTGCTCGACCGATTTAACTTAACTTACGCGAATTGCTTTTCAGACCTTTTTAGGATTAACTTATGGGTTTTTGAATAAAATTTTCAAGAAATTAAGTTATTTATCTGTCATTGTTCATTCATAACATGAGTTCAAAAAACGACCATGAGACTACAGATCGTGAGATTTTTAGAAACATTCAGACGGACCCTTTCTTGGATCAAAACTGAAGTGCTGTTTTTTACATGTTCCGCACTGAATTGCTATTCATTTTTTCATTCATTACTTGCCATTCAAGAATTTTGCAGTGTGTAGAATTCAAGAATTTCTGCAGTTTGGCAGTGTGCAGCGTGCTTCTCTTTTTCCATAATTTGTACCCTGATTACAGCTGAATACAGTTTGAATTAAGTTTACTGGGTTTGTTCTCAGTTGTTTGTTTACAGCTGTTGAGCTTATCTTAAAAAAATGAAAGAGTTTTCCTCTATTCTGAAACGGACAGACTCGTCGGCTTTTCGAGCTCGAGTTTGTCTTTTTTTTTTTAATTAAAAAAGTTCTAAGTTTATATTTGTAGCGAAAGATTGTATTATAGTTATAGGTAGCGAACAAGGTTATCGTTTGCTTTCTATGTCTGTCCTCAGAGAAAATATTATACACCTTACGGTAAAATTTTCTTTCAGATATTTTCAGGTATAAATGTAAAGGCTACACATAACTGTTCGTCCGGGGTTTAAAAAAAAGAAAAGAAAAGAGAAGATAATGGGCTTATGGGAAGACAAAAGTCCTTAAGTCGGCCTGATTCTCCTTTTAGGTCTTCCCTTAAACACAGACACACCGACCCTAGAAATCGTAACCTGTAAAATTGCTGCTACTAAGAGACCTACAATTTAACATTTTTTTTTCAGTTCAGGTTTGTTTGCGGGATATTTTTTCTTAATCATTTAGTCCCTCCCTCTAAAGATGTCTGATGCCGAAGGCTCTTAGGAATGTGAAGATTTCTTTGCCTTTTGGCTTAGAGTTCATGTTATTACTTTAATTTGATTGCTTTTATCATAAGAATAGAAACGGAGGCTTCGCCTTTAGCCCTGGCTAAATCTATATATTAGATTAATGAAGAATTTTTAAGAGGTTGTTTCATGGAAGCACAAGTAGAAATGTAAAAAACAAACAAACAAATAAACAAAGAAAAGAAAAAAAAACTCATATGTACAGACTGAATTCAATCACTGAAAAATTGCGGAAATGGAGAAAATATTAGAAAGAAAAACTTACTACGAACTGGTGCCCCTGGCCTAACACCCAGGCCCTGTTGTATCTCGTGCAGTCAAAATAGTTATTTCTTATTCTTAGCGGGCTCATTCGTCATAAATAACATAACTTGCAATATGTAAAACTTTGGATAATCATTTGTCACTGATTTTATCTGGGATTTTGTTACAAGTGGCATGAATTGAATTATAGTTCACTGCAACTGCTTTATTTCCAAAACTGCAGATTAAGATATTCGTGGAATATTTCTACTACTCAAAAGCATTGCATTACTATCCCTCATTCAATAGACATAAGAATCGAACTGATTCAGTTTGATAATTCAGCATTAAATATTGATTTCCAGACATAAACGAGTGTAACACAGGAAAACACAACTGTGACGTCACTAGCAAAGTGTGCCATAACACTATAGGATCCTTCGGGTGTGGTTGCAAGGAAGGTTATTTTGAAGATGGAGAAGATAAATGTACAGGTACTACTTCAAGATCCCTTTATTGAAACACTCAGTTATTTCGTAGCCACGTTTCTTTCACATAAATTTCCTCTGTTCAAAAGTGGTTTTTCACTAGATTCGCCTTAATTTAAGTCTCGTTAATCTCCATAATACCTTTTACTAGTGCTGATCCCAGAGCATTAAGTTAATATAATAAGTCAGATATATTATTTTAATTCTAATAGGCCATTTTTGAGTTGACTCGAACTTCTGTCTTAAAACAAGGCGAAGTGCAAAGCTTTTAGATATGAAGATTAGTTTTAAAGCTTAAGGAGAAAGGTTTGAGGGTTGACCTTGTTTTATAAATGAACATTGATCCTATGAAATGGATATAATGGTAGGCCACAGCAATTGCTCTGAAAGAAAAAGGAATTCAGTTTTGATCAT